CCCGCGTCCCCTGCATTGGCAGGCGGACTCCCAACCACTGCGCCACCAGGGAAGCCCTACTTCATTCTTTTTAACAGCTGTATAATGTTCAGTATTATGGCTCTACTATGATTTACTTATTCATCTCCCTGCTTGTGGATATTTAGATTATTTGCATTCTTTGTCATAACAATGCAACAGTATCTTCCTCTATTCAAATCTTAGTGTCTATGCAGAAGTTTCTTCCCATAGGATTTCTATCAATAAATTCTTGCTTAGCAGTTGTAGTCAATGTTTACTTGGAGATAACAAAAATATTTTTCTTTAGAAATATTCAATTTTCTTGTAAATTATGATGCCTTTTCTATAAATAGTTAGGCTTGTGACATCCTTTGTGGAGCATTCCATGTAGCCACTGTATGGGATGGTGTCAGCAGTTTTATTATGAACTCTTGCCAAAGGCAGTGTCAGGAATGAGCCTTCATAGCACAGAAGCAGAAATTAGTTCCTGGTTCTTTTTTCTCCTTCCTATCCTGACACAAGATTAGAGGTTCTACAGAATGGCTTGTATAGTCATTTAGGCAGCTCTTGTAAAGCATGAATGTGTTCTCGTTTTTTAAAAATAAAACAAGACAGAAGTAGTATATGGGATCTAGAACAGAGGAATGGGGTCCCCCTTAATTAAAAAAAAAAAGATCAGAGGAAACAGGAGCCCCTCAGTTCCTTCATTATTTGTTTGTTGTTTCCCCTGTCTGTGTACTTCTCTGTCTCTCTCCTTTTTCCTCTCTGCATGAATTGTAACATTTCTTTCTGTGGCTATTGCCCAGATTAAAGCAATGGAGAAATGTGTGGCTGCATATAGCAACTATTTGATACCTCTTACACAAGAAGGAAAGGAAAAATAATGGGACTACACTTTGGCCACCACATCTCTTCTCTTGCAACCCCCAAAGGCGATATTTATGGGATTTCAGTGCCAAGCCCTTCCATTGAAATGACCTCTTCTAATATTTAAATGTTGATTTGTGTTTTCTTTCTGGGATCTAACATATTCTCCAAAGATAGAAAAATTCTTATCTTCGTATTTCTATTCTTCTTTCTATCTAATTTTAATGCTTAAGTAAAAACAAGAAATGATCTAAATCACTCAAAGTTATCAGATGTCTTGGAAAAAAAGAAAAATCTTCTGAATAAAAAGGCAGGAGAAGGCCCAAATATCCATCAATAGGGGATGGATATTTGGTACATCCAAGTAGTGTAAAATAGAATGAGGATGTTCTCTATCTACCAATGTAGAAAGATCTTCAGGACATTACTGTTAGGTGAAAAAAAACAAGATTCAGTGAGTGTGCAGAATATGCAAATATTTCTATATGAAAAGGTGAAAATAGTATTGTATATTTGTATTTACTAGTATTTGCATAAAGGAACTGAAGGTTACACAAGCAATGAGTAAGACTTTTCATGGAATACCTCTTTAAAGTGTCCTGATTTTTGAATTAGGACTGTATTACCTATTAGAAATAAAAATAATTTTTTAAAAGGAAGTTCTGCATTGTTAGGTAAGATCCTCTTTAAGCCTACTATGTATGTATTCCACCTCTCATGTTTGAGCCTAGGTACCTTTTGGGGTAGGGTCACTTGCAGGACTATGTATGTTGAGGAGGAAGGGAATAATTCTATAATTAGGACGTGTGGCAGTTTAAATTCTAACTATTTTGGTAGGAAATTGAAAAGGCAGATTTACATCTAACTAACCTGTTTCTTTAGCTTGTTCAGACTTCTTGGGTTTGTTCTTTATTTTTTTCCTCAAAGTAATTGAAAGTTTTATTTATTTATTTGTTTATTTATTTACTTTAAACAGCTGTGTTTTATTTTATTTATTTATTATTTGGCTGCATTGGGTCTTCATTGCTGCGTGCGGGCTTTCTCTAGTTGCGGCAAGCGGGGGCTACTCTTCATTGTGGTGCGCAGGCTTCTCATTGCAGTGGCTTCTCTTGTTGTGGAGCACGGGCTCTAGGCTGAGCACGAGCTTCTGTAGTTGCAGCACACAGGTTCAGTAGTTGCAGCACGTGGGCTCAGTAGTTGTGGTGCATGGACTTAGTTGCTCCGCAGCATGTGGGATCTTCCCGGACCAGGGATTGAACCCGTGTCCCCTACATTGGCAGGCGGATTCTTAACCACTGTGCCACCAGGGAAGTCCCTAATTGAAAGTTTTAAAACAAGCTGCTCTTTTTTTTTCTTCTTTTAAGTGAAGTATAATTGATTTACAGTATTACATTAGTTTCAGGTGTACAGCATAGTCATTCAATTTTTGTGTGTGTATGTGTAGGGTTTTTTTTTTTTTTTGCAGATTGTATTCCATTATAGCTTATTACAAGATGTTGGGTGTAATTCTCTGTGCTATACAGTAGGGCATTATATAATGATAAAGGGATCAATACAAGAAGAGGATATTGCACTCATTAACATTTAGGCTCCCAATATAGAAGCACCTAAATATATAAAGCAAATCCTAACAGACATAAAGGGAGAAATTGACGAATGGCTTAAAACAAGATGTTCTTGATTCACAATCAAAATCCATTGCCTGGTGTCTTGGTGAACATAGTGAGAAAGTAAACTCAAACTGTGGTCTTAAGCCTGTTTGTTGTGTCTGTGCTTTTATCTTTTACAGGAGCAGGAAAATTCAGATTCGAAACATCCCTCCTCACCTGCAGTGGGAGGTAGGCCAATGTCATTTCTATATTTATTATCTTTCTGCTCTCTTTCCTCATTTTATTTCTTAATGGGTTAATAAGGGATTTTCTCCCTTTTTTATAGTTCCCTTTCACATTTAGGAATTAGAGGTCCTCAGACTTTCCCTTCTTCAGTGCCCCTAATGTGCATGATCTGCCCTGAGTTTGGGGTCAGATTTGTCCCTTTCGTTGTGCGGGATGTGCACTTTGATCCCTTATGTTCTGTCTTCTCAGAAACCAAGCATCAACAGACAAACTGTGAAACAAAATACATACCTTGCTTGTGATTTTTATCCCATGATTTTATAAAAGATTTTTACCTTTCTAAATTACGATTTAGGGAAAAATAAAATAAATGGAAAACCCATAAGAATAGAAGGTTCTTTGTTAGTTTGAGCAAGTTTTTTGTTTATTTTGAATTAGTTGCTATGAATAACAGTTAAGACATATTTTCGGAGTTGTAAAACTTCTTACAAGATTGTTACCTTGAAATAAGATAGAATATGAGGAGTGGCTTTACTGCATTATTGAAAAACATACTACCCCATGTTCCCCAACCCAAACAAAATCAAAATAGCCTTAAAGGAAACAGAATGTTTTGTCTAATGTCTTTATTCCTTTAAGAAAAAAAATTTTCATTGTGGAAAATTTTGAACATATACATATCTCATTACTTTGTAAAATAAGGAGATCCCCGAAGGAAAACTGAAGGAAGAAGGTTAAATTTTCCAGAAAGGAGAAGTGACCTTTGTACATTATTCTGCTTCTCACTTCAAAAGCAGCAAGTGGGTTCCAACCATCATGATGAACGTGACTGTTAACAATTACTAAGACTCCGAAGCTCTGCTGTGTTTCCTCAGTGAACAGATTACTTGAGAGCCAATAAGCAAATGAAAGTCCTGTACATTTATTCAGTTCTAGCTGCTTTTATGGAAGAGCTGAAATTCTGACAGCAAAGCTTCTTTTTCAGGTGTTGGATGGACTTTTGGCTCAGTATGGGACAGTGGAGAATGTGGAACAAGGTAATAAGTGACGAAATTAGCCTATTGAATTTTGAGAGGGATATTACCTGTTATTTCTTATAGGTCGGGTCAAATCCAAGGACAAATGATAAGTTCAAATTCCTTTGAAGCAAGCTTCCTAGAGTGTATGTTTGTATATCTGTATGTGAGAGATGTCTGTATCCATCTGTCTCTATCGATTTTTTCAAAGAATGGTTTTCAGGCTATTTTTCTTACACTCCATAATGTACTCAAGCCCTGGACAGATGCTGTCAGGGTGGGGGAAGCTTAATTCACTTGGAAGTAACTGGATTTACACTATTACAGCTTTCCTCTTCCTGGTTAAGAATAACATATCCCTAATATCTTGGACTGAGTGTTTCTCAAGGTGTAGGACTCCTACCCCAGAATCGCCTGGAGTGCTTGGGAAAATGCAGATTCCTAGGGTTCACCGTAGATAGACCTACAAATTAAGACTCTATGGGGGAAGAAGTCATGAATCTGTATGTTCAACAAGCACCCCCAGGTGATTTTTGTGTGTACTCATTTGAGAGCCTCTGTCCTAGGAACAATGCTGTAAATCCCCAGAAAACACATATTCTTTTTCCTGCCGCCCTTATTTTTGTCTTCTGAAACATGAAGTGCTGTGATTTTTACAGAAAAAAAAAAGGGTACCTCAGCTGATATCTTATGTAGCTATTTAAGAGTCCCTGAAAAGTAGATTCTAAGCTCCTGATAGGACGGGCAGTAACATGTGATAAAGATTATTTTTGCATTGACCTAGAAAGCAGACTATGAATTCAGTCACTTACTGACTGTGAACCCTTGTAAAAGTCACTTAACCTTATTGGCTCAGTTTCTACATGTGTATAATGGGGAGAATAAATTTACCCTTCTTATATCACTGAATAGTTGGGGCACCCAGAGAGAACCTGAATAAATATTTACAGACAATGGAGTCATACATAATTGTTAAAGTTCACTTAGGAAAAATCACAGAGAATCCATTTTCTCATATGCAGTCTGTTCTATCTGCCAGTATAATTAATATAATAGTTTTAAAGCAGTAGTTATTCAGATGCTCTCCACTCCTGAATATTAAAAATATTATTAGTCAGTTTCATACTGCTGACTGCCCATACCCAAAGGTGAAGGGAAACTCAGTTCTTGTTATCTCCCTCAAATGGAAAAGAAGACGTTCTAATAAGGAATGGATTTAGTAGGCAGGATGACCTTCCAGACATGAACCTGTAGAATTTACTAACTAAGACCATGTTATTAAACTTAGGACAGTGCCATGCAAGGAAGAAATACTCCAGGTCCCTGGGGGCAGTTCACAGCTCCAATGGCACCTGTGCCCTGAGAGCACCCAGTTTCTAGCTGCCTCACAGCTATGGGATAGAAGTGCTGGGCTGTTGTTTTGTTCTGTTTGATAGGTGATTCCTGATTCAGCAG